GTGCCTGTCCTGGATCTGGCTCTGTAGACCAGGCTGGCCTCAAACTCACATAGTGCTGCTTGGCTCTGCCTCCCGAGTGCTGGGATTAAAGGCGTGTGCCACCACCGCCCGGCCCAAAGCTATTATATACAGTCATTATTAGATGTGCTGATTCTTTTGTTCTGCTTGGTTTCTTCTGTTTCCTAGTAGCCATTCTAAGATAATCCAAGCATGTTGTGTTTGTCCCACTTATGAAGAGACTTAAGAGGAAGACCTGAACAATAAAAACAGACAGTGGGCATACTTGTCAGGCTTGAGGTCACGGTGCACAATGCCGTAGTTGTGTAAGTATTCCAAAGCCAGCACAGTTTCTGCAAAGTACAGACGCACCATGTCCACAGGCAGGGCCCCAATGTTCTTCAGCAGAGTGGCACAGTCTCCTCCTGCAAAAAGCCCAGGCTATCATGAAGAAAGGCTATCGTGTTCCAGCCAGTTCTCAGGCTTTGCAGTACTTAAGGAGATAGTCTCACAGAATAGCCTAATGTTAGACCGTGTGACTCTAGCCCTTCTGCTACTAGTGTGGGTGGGAGATAGGTAGTAGGAAGCAGGAAATGGATTAGACTATTAGGTGACAGAAGGAAGGAATCCAGGCCTTCATACTTTCATAATGACTTGCAGGTATAAGACTAAGTTTTCTAGGATGGGAACACTATATTCAACAAACGCATCTGCTAGGGCTGGAGAGATGGCTCAGTGGTTAAGAGCACCAGAGGACCCAGGTTCAATTCCCAGCGCCCATATGGCAGCTCACAACTGTCTGTAACTCCAGTTCCAGGAGACCTGACACACTCACACCAATGCACATAAAATAAAATTAAATAAATTATTAAAAAATGCATCTGCTAAATCATTCATGTTTGTTCACTTATTTCCTTCTTTTCTGACTAAAGTGACATGTAAACCTCCAGCAAATAGCCACTGAAGTAAAAGCATGGCTTTGTTCAGGTTCAGCTTTAAGCCTTAGGGGAAATGTTTGTAGCTGTACAGAGTGAGGGGGTCCGAGGAAGGGCCACTGCAAAGCTGCTGCCTGCCCCTCTCCAGAGCTCTGCCCATGTTATTCTTCTAGTCTATTCCCAGAGTATTGGACTAGGTTTAGGGATGGCCCTTTATCAAGTCATCAGCAGGGGTGATCTTACAGAGTCCCACTTTGGGCTTCTATGGCTGCTAGCTAAAGCCTCTGCCCCTGTCTGCACAGACTTTGGGGAGGAGACTCTCTAGCTGCTGCGTTACTGCATCTGTCCACTTTTCTCCTGTGAAGCTATGTGCTCACTGTGGCCAGTGGTCTGAGTTCCTAAGCAGAAATAGATAACAAAGAGGTCTTTGGAGCCCAAAGCTTCGCTCCTCTACAAAGAAGCTGGTCCTTATTTAGGCCGGAGGCTCCAAGTACACTTGGACTTCCACACAGGCCATGCTCCCCCAGTACCTTCAACATATTCCATCACCATGCACAAGTGACGCTTGGTCTCAAAGGAGCAGAACATGCTGACCACAAAGGGGTTTTCAGCGAACGTCAGTATGTCGCGCTCCACAAATGCCTGCTGGATCTGGTTCCGTAGGATCAAGTTCTGCTTATTAATCTTCTTCATAGCAAAGCGCTGCCGAGTGGACTTGTGCCGCACCAGAAAGACAGCCCTGGGGAAGACAGCCAGCCCAGCCCAGCACCCAGGGTCTCTTAGCACCTCAAATGTACGTTCCATAACCCCCAAATGCCTCTTCATCCCACATATGTGCACAAAACAACAAAACTCTTGGGGATATGCCTACTACTAAGAAGAATCTAGGCTTCTGGCCCAATTAATGCTTCCATTTCCCAGCAGAGCAGGTCCTGAGGGCCCAGCTCAATGTTTCCAGAACTCAGAGGAATGCTACCAAGACAGGTGGGAATCCTGCCTGGGCAAAGAACCAATGTTCAGATGCCAGAGGAAGCTGAACTCTTGATATTCCAGGAGAATTCAAAGAGGGAGTGGGTCCACCTTGGGGCATCTTTTGCCCAGGGGATTGGGTATCATACACTTTCAGAAGGAAGAGACCAAGGGCTGATTCAGCTCTAGTCCTGGCCCCAATCTGACCCATGCCTTTACCCATAGGCGCCATTGCTGATGAGCTTAATGGTTTCAAAGTCCTCTTCAGAGGGGGTCTTTTTATTTGGCAGAGATGCCCCACGACCCTAGAAGACAAAGAAAAAGGAAGGAAGTAGGTATGATCTTCAGAGCACATATGCTTGGGGAAGCTGTGTGTGTACCCAGTCTCAGCTGAATACATGCAGCTCTTGTCTATTCTTTCCCAGGAACCATACGACTTTTCATTGTTGGTAGCACCAACTTCCTATCCCTTCAGATGTTCCTTTAAAAAAAAAAAAAGACTTATTTATTGTTATTCTATGTGTATGAATTTTTGATCACATCTACGTATGTGTGACTGGTGTCTATGGAGGTCAGAGGAGGGCACTGGATCTCCTGGAACTGGAGTTACAGTTGGTTGTGAGTCACCAATGTGGGTGCTGGGAATTAAACCCGGGTCTTCTGGAAGAGCTAGTACTCTTAACTGCTAAGCCATCTCTCTAGTCCCCAGATGTTCTTTTAAAGCAATCTTATAGGGCTTCACAGAGCTCAGTCTCCAAGACTGTAGCAGTAGCTCAGGATCTTTACCTCAACGGAATCATCTGTCTCCGGAGTATCAGGACTGTCATAGCTGCTCAATTGGGCCATTTCTAGAAACACAGCAAAGACACCAGAGAAAATTGTAGAGCAGTGGTAGGCATTTCAGCAATACCCTCAGATCATACAACAGGTACACGTGGGATAAGTATTAATACTGTATCAGTCTGAAATGTAATACTGTGGCGCTGTCATCAGTAAAGCACAGATTTTAGACAGGGAAATAAGTCAAGTGCCATTACTCTACTATTTCTAGAAGTTCAGTGCCATTTACAAGGCCTGGCACAGTCTAGAAAAGCTTCTCTCAAACAAGGCCTAATAGAGGCTTCTACCTGTACCCATCCTTCAGGCCAAGACTACTTTACTTATTGGGGCAGGGAAGCAAGCAGACAGGGGCAGGACAGCCACAAAGCAGGATAGGGAAGTCCAAGGTTCAAGCAGGGGCTCATCGTGAAGTCCAGAAGAACAGAGCTAAACTCTAAAGCAGAAGGGACAAGCCCTAAACAGGAAGGCTTGAAATGTGGTCAACAGGAGAGAGAAGAGTATGGAGAAGGGTGACCATTTTAAATGTTGATTATGATCCTTCCTTGTTGACCTTGTTTAATCTGAGGATCTAAATCCAACCTAGCTGGGCCTAAGGGAAGCCTGTCTAGGACACAGCAGGCAAATATGAACAGTGATTCCAAAGAAAAGGTCATGTAATGGCAGAGATCACAGAGTGTGTCCCGTAGTCCTGAGACCCCTGAGGTCATGTTATATCCATGTCTATGCTAAATCTCTTCTTTATAGCCACTATGCAGCATGCTCACCCTCTAGGGGATCCCGTGTGAGGCCCAGCTGGCTAACAATGTAGCGGGGGATGTCACATTTAATTCCATGTCCCTCTTTGGCATGACCCTCAGCTGCTTCTAACAGGTGATAGAATTCTTCAGGGTCAAATTCCTGTACCAGAGAAAAGAGGTGGTTGTGGTCAGTTGGGGAGAGATACAAATGTATGCTGCTGCCTTTCTTGGCATTAAAAGCACATACCATAGGGAAAGAAATTAAACCTCTTTGTGATGATATACCCTGGTCTCTAAACATCCAGAAACATGAGTTACAGATCATGGAACAAAGCTGTCTTCTAGGTCACCTCTAGATGATTTCCTAAGCATAGTATAGTCTTCTTAGAAATAAGCACAAGAGCTTTTGACTTCAAGACAGGTTAGCCTAGTTACCTGTTATAAGTCTGATTCTTTTAGCCAGGTGGCACCGTCAGGTATGTTCAGGTGGTCAGCCTGGAGCACCGCTGGTATATACTCAATCATAACTGATTTAGCACGGGGGTAGGCCAGACTAATAGTTCTTGCTGCCAGTCCCCTAAGTGCTTGCAAATCATATTAAAAAAAAAAAATTCACTAACAGAAATGTTAATGGTACTCCCAGTTTTGTTGTTGGCAAGACACTTCCTTTACACCCCCTATTCCCCACCTGCACATCAACACTCCATGTTAACTCACCAGACATTCCAGGAGACGAGCTGGGCGGGCAATGACAATCATCAACTTTTTTACCAGCTGTATCACAAAGGCTACATCTGAGCTCTCTGAGCGCTCATGAGCCTACACAGAAAAGAAAGGTTACTTACACAATTATCCTACTGTGAATGGGTTAAACAGGACCAGACTGCACAGAGCTAACTACAGGAAGAAATATGGAATTGTATGTTGAACAGTCATTAAATTCTTTGAGACACAGCCTGCACTGAATTTCCCCCCTCTATTACAAGGGCCTAGTAAATTAGAGAACAGAATTTGGAAAAAAAAAAAAAAGGTAATTGGCCAATTAGAGAACACTCAAGTGTTCTCCCAAAGGCACCAACACCTAACCTCAGGGAGTCAGTCAGTTTGAGGAAAGGCCAGAAGGTTTTAAGCAAGACTGTGACTTGAGCATTTTATATTCATCTATTTAATTTTTATTTTTATGGTGTGTACAGACACATGAACTCAGGTCATCAGGCTTTGTGGCAAATACCTTTACTTGTTAATAAAGTGTCTTAGATCTGACTTTAGCACTTTAGAAAACCTTACACACAAGAGGAACAGAGTTCCTGGCTTAGGAGCATATGTCTACCATCTACGCTGACCAAAAGGCTCTGGTGGAAGGATCACTGGAGCCCACTAATTCAAGACAAACCCAAGCTACACAGTGGAAGCTGTCTTGAAGAAAAACAAAAAAGCCTTTTAAGTCATTCAATGTTAATTCTTTGTATGATATACCTATCAATTTCTTGACTCTTTTTTAAAATTATTTTAAATTACATGTAGGTATGTGTGAAACATCTCCATGTACAAGTGTCCAAGGAGGCCAGAGACCAAAGGTATTGGATCCCACTGGAGCTGGTCTTTCAAGTAGTTGTGAGCTGCCAGATGTGGATTCTAGGAACTAAACTTGTGTCCTCTAGAAGAGTATTGTGTTCATAACCACTGAGCCATCTTTCCAGCTCAGTTTCCTAATTCATTCTTTTCTTTTCTTCTTTCTTTTTCTTTCTTTCTTTCTTTCTTTCTTTCTTTCTTTCTTTCTTTCTTTCTTTCTTTCTTTCTTTCTTTCTTTCTTTCTTTCTATCTA